GTGTGTGTGTGTGTGTGTGTGTGTGTGTGTGTGTGTGTGTGTGTGTGAGTGTGAGTGAGTGAGAGAGAGAGTGAGAGAGACTTCATAGGTTGGTCTCCTGATGTTATTTCCACGAGGCCCTAGAAGAAAACAAATACAAGTTTAACTAAACTTCAATTAAACGCTAGATTCATGTAATTTAGCTCAAATAGTAAAAGTGTGTCTTAGAGACGATAAATTGGATTAAGGTTAAAACTTAAAGTTACTACGAAGAACTTTTATCTTGTGTTGATTCTGGTGGTCCCTGTGGACTAAAGTGGTAGTGTCTCTGCCCCTCTCAGTCCTGGTTCTGGTTCTCCTGTGCCTCCCTTCCCTCCAGCGGGTCCAGCAATACGTCCTGGTTTCCAGCAGCGTGGTGTCGGTGTTGACTCCCAGAGAGGAGAAGCTCTGCTAGAGGAGGAGGAGGAGGAGGCTGCTGCCGAGAGCTGAGCTCTCCTCCTCCCTCCGGAGCTCTGGGTCTGTCCACGCTGGACCGGTCTCTGCTGGAGGATCTGGGTCTGTCCACGATGGACCGGTCTCTGCTGGAGGATCTGGGTCTGTCCACGGTGGACCGGTCTCTGCTGGAGTCTGAGCTGAAGGAGTTTCTGGTGAACCTGCATGATTTCATCTGGTTTCACCAGAATCCGACCCGGTGGCTCCGATGATGAGCATTAAGAATAACTCTATAGAAATAGACCATCTTCTCTCTGATGGTCTCTTTACTGATGGAGGTCTGATAGAGGATCAGGACTAAACTGAGACTGGTTCGTATAGGATCAGGACTACAATGAGACTGGTTCAGGACCAGTTAAAAGTTCCCTTCGTTCTTCTTCAAAACACACATTTTAGTGTTAAAGTTCATCTCAGTGTGACGGCACCATGAAACTCCACGTGTTTCTGTTTCTGTTGTTTCTACTGCAGAGACCACACACACACTCACACACACAGAGTTAATCCCAGCTCGGTGTCGGTGATGTCGACTCTGTTATGTTGACTTTTTGACCCGTGAGCTGAAATAATGAGGAGGAAGAGGAACAGGAGGTAAAAAGGAAAAACATGGGATAAAAGGAGGAGAAGAGTAGCTGGTTTAAAATGTTATAGAAATTCCATTAATTAATTTTTTTTAATGGGATAATTATTGGATAAGATATTGAATTGTTATATATTAAAGTTGAAAGAGTAAAGTTTATAGAATAAAGTTAATTTATTCCATTAAAATAAATAAATGATATCATTTTTTTTATTTATTCAATAATTAATACCAACTACTAAATTAATGACAAATGAAGTCGCGTCTTTAATTTTTTCTTTTCACACACACATCTACACACACACACACCTACACACATGCACTTTTGTGACTGTCAGCAACTGCTGATCAACGTGGGAGTTCAGTTTTAATGTGCTGGATGAGAGGAAACTTTGATTAAATGTTAACACCAATGTTCATATTTAATCAACTGGAACAATAACAAAGTTTTAGTGAAGAAAAGATTTAGATTGAAAGTCTGAAGATAGAAAATACAACGAGCCATTCTTCTTATTCTTCTTCTTCTCTACATATTCATCGTTTCTAAAGAGAGAACTTTTTATACGGTTCAAGTCTCCTCTCCCCTTGTCTTCTCTCCTCTTGTCTCCTCTCCTCTTGTCTCCTCTCCCCTTGTCTTCTCTCCTCTTGTCTCCTCTCCCCTTGTCTCCTCTCCCCTTGTCTCCTCTCCTCTTGTCTCCTCTCCTCGTCTGAAGCTCCTGGAGGACGTTCAGGTGAGATCAGAGAGATGAAGAGGACAGCACGTGAGGACAGATAAATGGAACCTGTCCTGTTTTGACGCCACTTTGTGTCCACAGAAAACAAGAGCAGAGCGATCAATAAAACGCTACAGGTGTTACTGTACGTATAGTATATGTACATATATATATATATACTGTATATATACATAAAAGAGCCCACACAGATCCTGGTCAGCCTGGTAGCCTCGCCCCTTTTCTTTTTTATATAACAGCTGTGATTGGCTGCTGCTTGTGACCCCCAGCTGACCATCAGAGTATCATGAAGCATGTGGGAGACGACATGGTGGTTCACACAAAGAGCCGTTTGTTGTGTCGGGACTCTCACGGATCAGGTGTCTGCCTCTCGTGGGGGGGGGGGATTTGTGGCCGAGGTGACTTGAACTCAGCAAACATGGACGTTGAGCACTTTTTGAGCATTATTATCCGAAACATCTCAAGTTTGAGGTTTACTGGTACGAAGTCAGACTCAGTAAATTGATTTAAAGGAGAACTTTAAACTGTTTAATGCTCCTTTAAATATCTAATAACATTTAGAAGATATTCTTAACCTAAACGCTCGTCACACAGGACGTCTACCAGGTGTGAAGTCAAAGCTTCATGTGTTAAAGCTGCATTCTCTCCAGTGTCCACCAGGGGGCGACTCCTCTGGTTGTATAGAAGTCTATGAGAAAATGACTCTACTTCTCTCTTGATTTATTACCTCAGTTAACATTGTAAACATGAGTTTATGGTCTCAATCTCTAGTTTCAAGTCTTCTTCAATACAGCATGATGTTCATTGAGTAAATTATGGTCCATTTAGAGTCAAACAGACCATAAAGCAGGGGATGCTTTTGACTTTCTATCAAAGAAGCAGATATTTTCTGAAACAGTTAACCAGTAGAGTTTCACATTTGTCAGAAACTTAAAGAGCTCCAGCTGTGAGTCACTTCCTGTTGTCTACAGGAACCAGAGTTTCATGTCTAGAAACCCAGAACAGCTTCAATCAAATGGGAAACATGTTGAGGAGCTGAGACCTGAAACAGACTCACAAATACAATGTAGTTTGTTTTCCATTTGAAACAAGTTGATAGTAAACTGCCCACCGAGATGTTTCTTAAGCATTGTTCTCGTGTATACTTCATATCTTTTTATCTGTGTCTCTCTATGAAAGCCTTTCAGAAAATGTCCTCCCTCTCTGCAGAAACATTCCTCCTCCAGACATTTTCTTGTTCGCCCTTCTCATTTTACCGGCGGTCGGCTGGGAGCTGGCCAAAGCTGAATTCCTGACCGCTGCTGTCTGGTGATCCTGTACAGGTACCTCCACACAGGTAACATTACCTGAGCCGGCCGTCCACAGTGAGAAGAGCTTCAGAGGTGATAGAACGAGGCCAACATGACGAGTCCTGCAGCGACGAGTCGTCAATACGTGTCAGAAACCTTTGTAGAAGATAAAATATCACGTTTTGTTTTGGTGCAAAGCAAATGCAACACTCAGCCTACATTCAACTAATTTGACCATTTTTGTCTAGAATAAAGTCAGAAACATTCCTTGTCAAACCGTTTCACTCAAAACACCAGATTTTTCTTGAGAAAAATTTGCAGAGAAAATTACAAAAACTGAATAAACACACCTGCAGAATATTTGTGCGGGCGGAAATATGTTTAACCAATGAAATGATTAGTTCCTCCCTGATCCTCAGAGTGTTTTGTTGGGACTCATGAACAAGATCACATCATCTGCCAAAAAACAGACTTTAATTCAGACTTTATTGTATATTGGAAACTCCCCCATGCCTCGCCAACACAGAGATTCTTTCCATGAAGATCACCACCATAGTTGGTGAACAGAAGAACACTACAGCACTCACTACTAGAAACTGAAACATTTGTGAATTTAACAGCAATTATTTTGTGTGCACAGATAAAACTTAGCTTGTTTTGTTTTATCCATAAATTTCAAAAGCATTTGTAAAGTCATGAACCCGACTTTTTAGCTGTAACATCAGCTGACTAATGGACTCGTCTCTTTAGTTTTGTTGATTCTTTTGTATGTTTTACCCACGATGAGTTTATGGGAACCGGTTTTTATTAAAGGCTCTACATTTGGATAAACCTCAATATTAAATTGTCTTTTTTTCTAAACATGGGGAGAACAACACAACACTGTAAAGTAAGTTATGTTCAGACTGTAAACGCTTTAGTTTAATATGGACGCCATGAAGAGAACAACTTGTTTACAAAGTAACAACTATAAGTAAACAGTAAACATCACTCAGCTGTTGAATCATTAATGAACTGTGGAAAGTTTTTAATTTTTCTGTTTCTCTCTCTCAGGTCGACCTGTCAGTGAAGCCCCTCCCACCTCCCCCTCTGATGTCACGACTGTAAGGTCTGTGTGTGTGTGAGAGCTTATTTAAAGGGCTGCCTCTCTCTCTCGCGGGGCGATCGACACCAGCTCAGCATCATCAGCTTACCGGCTGCTGCTTCCAGGGAATAAACTCTGAATAGTTTTCATGAGAGACGGCTGCTGAAGAAACAGTAAGACGAGTTTATTGATTAATGAATGAATGAACTAATGAATGACTGAACTAATGAATCAATGAACTAATGAATCAATGAACTAATGAATGACTGAACTAATGAATCAATGAACTAATGAATGACTGAACTAATGGATGACTGAACTAATGGATGACTGAACTAATGAATGACTGGATTAATGGATGATTGAATGATTGATTGGCTGATTTAAATCCAAACAAAGTGACTCGCTGACCATTTTAACCCAACTTCTTTACTGACTGACTGGTTAAATAGTAATTAGTTTACTAACCGGCTGCTAAGTTAACTGACTGACCAACGATTAACTGGTTTTACTGACTGGTTAACCAGTTAGCTGTTGATTTTGCATTGTTTCACAGACTGGCTGAATTGTTTAATAACTGGTTGACTGGTTAACATGTAGTTTAGTTAGTAGTAGTAGTAGTGAGTGGTTTATTGTGTTAACTGGTTACTGAGTTAACTGACCTTTTTAACTAGTTACTGTCTGGTTTGCCCACTGGTTGAGTGATTTACTGGCTCACTGGTTATTGGTTTACTGGTTATTTATGAATTGTTTATTTGACTGCCCAATAGTTGGAAGACTGGTTTCAAGATTGTTTGCTGGTTGACTTTGTCTGTTAACTGGTGATCTCACTGGTTTACTCATTGATTGATAGTTTTAAATGACAGTTTTCTTTCTGGCTGACTGCTTAACTGTTGTCTTGACTAGTCTTCACTAGCTGACGTTTACCTGGTTTACCATTACCTAACTAACTGGTTCACCTGTTGCCTGAATAGTTTACTGCTGACAGTTTACTAACTGGTTTACTGCTGACCAGTTTCACAGTTTATTCTCATTGTATTCTTGTTTGGCTGGATATCTCAGTGTAACCATACATCATGTATGAAACTAGTGAACTGACTGTTTTAATTAACTGAGTTAACTGTTGTTTTAACCACTACTTGTTCTTAACTAGTTGACTAGTTGGTTTATGGCTGACTAGTTAACTGAGTTGACTGTTGTTTTAACCACTACTCGTTCTTAACTAGTTGACTAGTTGGTTTATGGCTGACTAGTTAACTGAGTTGACTGATCTGGTTTGACTGTTTACTGGTTTACTTACAGGGTTGGGAGGATAACTTTAGAAATGTAATCCCATACTATTACTAATTACCTGTTAAAAATGCAGTAACTACTCTAAACCCTCAGTATCACAATATCAAAGTAAAGTAACTTGATTACTTTCCGTTACTTTTGGATTACCTCAAAACCAAATTTATAAAGACAAAAGAAAAGTATTTTGTAAGTAAATCAGAAAAGATGAAGAACATCATGGCTGAAGTTCTTCCTTCTAGCTGTGGAAACGTTCTCATCATCAGAGGACTTGAATCATTTCACACATTAGTGTTCCTGGATCTGAACTTGGAGCAGCAGCAGAACACTTTCATATCAAATGTGGTTAGTGATGGATTATGTTTTCTGGAAGCGGTTCTCTCGTGATATCTTGCGCTGTTCTGTGATGTTCTTCCTGTTTCCTGCGTTACGTACAATAAAATGGGAGAATTCGTAAAGTGTTGTAATGTGTTTGTGTGTGCGTGTTCGTATATATCTCTTAAATCTGAGTTTCAGATCATTAATATCTCATCAAACAACTATCATCTATGTAAAGATATAGTGGAGTAACGTCTACGCATCCTTCTGTTCGTGCTCGGGTAAACATTGTTAGCACTGTTAACACTGTTAGCACTGTTAGCTGCTAGCCGCCGGCTCAACAGTCACCATGTTGAGAGGCTATATAAATGCTCCTTGTATCTTGTATTTAGCACCTTCTAAAACAAATTTTGAAATTGTAATCTTGCTAATAATCTCCAAATGTGTTGCTTAAAATATTGGTAATCTGATTATGTCTTTTTTTTTGTTTAACATCAACAGAGTTAATTATGTTGCATTCTAACTACGTAGCGCCGTTCCATGTGAATCGTTCCTCCCTCAGCCTGGTTATGTGTAACTAGAGTTGTTTGCTGTCTGGCCAACTGGTTTTGTGTTGTTTATAATTCATCTGTATCTTGTGTGTTGACTTGGTTACAGTTGACTTGTTAATTCATTGTTTAATGGTTTAACAGTCGGTCACTGTAATCTTTACTATGACTGACCTTTGATAACTGATTCACAGCCTCTCTGACTGGTTTCATACACTTTACTCTATTTAAATCTTTGTTTAATGTTCTATCATGTACATAAACAGCCTGTAAAACTGAGTTAGTTGCTGATTTAACCAGTTTACTCAGTTGATTTATTGACTAACAGCTAATGTGTGAGTTAACTTAAAAAACTCATTCCGTACCAGCTGACTGATTTTATTAACCATTTACTAACTGGTTCACCATCACTTACCTGCTTTGCTGACTGGTTTCGTGTTCTTTGATCGTGTCTCTTGTGTACAGTGTGAACTCATTTTGGTTGTCTGATGTTCTGATTGCTTACTGGTGAAGACGTGAATGTCTAACCCTGTTTCATGTGTATAGTTTAGTGTGAGTGTCATCATGTGTACAGATAGATATATAAACTTTTAATGACATTCATTATTGATGATTGATGACAGTTTCAGGTGCAGAAATGTCTCAGCTGTCTGTGCTGCTGCCTCTGACAGGTGAGCTGCTCTTCTTCTTCTTCTTCTTCTTCTGTGGTTTAACTTGTCTGTCCTTGTGTATTTGATGACGGGTTCATGTGATCTTTCTTTTTATCTGCAGGCCTTTTCTTCTTGATCTCCTCAACGTCTGGATCAGAATCCAGCGGTCAGTCCTGAATGTTTCTTTCTTTTTTCCTGAACCTAACTAAGTCATTTAAGTAATTTATATGTGCTCTTCTTTTCTTCTTCTTCTTCTTCTTCTTCTTCTTCTTCTTCTTCTCCTACTTCTTCTTCTTCTTCTTCTTCTTCTTCTTCTTCTTCTTCTTCTTCTTCTTCTTCTTCTTCTTCTTCTCCTTCTTCTTCTTCTTCTTCTTCTTCACTTTGATGAATTGTTTCTGTTGGCTCTCAGAAACATGTAGCGGTAACTTTAAACGTCTCTGTATGACTCCTTGTTGATCCTCAGAAGTTGTTTATTTTGAGCCTGAATCATACAAAATGTCTGAAGCTCTGTTTCTCTCGAATAGATGAAACAGATGAAAAGCTCCTTTTATCCAAAGTCAAAGAGGCGATTTATGATCCTGAATAATAATATAATAATTCTGACTCTCTCTCATGAATAGTGTTATGTAACAGTAAACCTGCTTTTTAAAAATCCTTTTTAAATGTGTTCTTTCTATTATTTTAACTTTAGTCTTTCACAAGTTAACAGCTGAAAACATTATAACCAAAAACATATTCATATATATATATATATATATTTTTCAGTTTCTTTTATTTTCTTTAGCTTTTAACATAAAAACGAAGCTTGTAGAGGCCAAATGTTCCCCTCAGAATTTAGACACTAAATGTATGAATGTGTTGCACTATATCCATACCGTTAGCATAATTCTCCTCACACAGATGTGGCGTTAGCAAGGCAGATCGATAACAAATGAACTGATCAACAAAAAGGTGATCGACCCACAATCTAAGGAAATATAATCTAGGGACTAACGTTATCTTAAACCTTAAAAGTGATGCAAGACTTCTTTACGTCTCTAAATGTTGTACGTCGCTCTGGTAACGTGAACTCCAGCGGTCACAACAACAAGCGATCGTGAACGCTAACGTTAGCTAATGTTTATTTAAATGTCTTTGTTGTTGTTTTTATTATAATATTGTAACACATATTTACATGTATATGGACGGAGGTTTTGTATACAGTTAATATATCTTTAAGGATATGAGGATCCATTTTATTTAGACATAGAAAAACATGAAATAGAGAAAAATCACAAAGAAAGTACAACAAAACTTAAAGACAAACAGTACAGATGTATTTGCTTGAGTCCCTCTGATGTCGCTGTGTTATTGATCAGTGCCGTACCCGGTGACCTGTGTGACCCGTGGAGCCGACCTGGTGGAGGACGGCGTGGAGGTCTTGTGTCCTCCAGACTGCACCCAGTGGAGGGTACCGGTGTTCGGGACGGGGATCTACGCCTCCGTCTCCTCCGTCTGCGGAGCTGCCGTCCACAGGTGGGTCGATTGTTTTCGAACCCTTTTGTTTTTGCTTTCTTGGCGTCCTCGTTTCACACTCGTCACACTAAAGCAGATCTCTGTGCTGATTGGTGGAAGTCAGGCTCGTCAGGCAGGTTAGCTGGAGGTTTGCGTAGCCGGACAGACACGTGGATCAAAGACTCTGCGACCAACTGCAGCTGCAGATGTGACATAATAAGGAGTCCTTCTGTCTGCTGAACCTCGACTAAACACCAACACCACGAAGGAATGTGCAGCGCTGAAGGATTAAGCTCTCAACCCTGAATGACCTCCTCCTTCCTCTGCTGAGGGCCACGGGGGGGAAACTCCTTCCTCCACTGCCTCACATCTCTTCTTCCTGTCCTCTCTGCTTTAGTTTCACACACTTCCCTCTGAAGTCTGAATCTCTTAAACGTATCGAACAATGCTTCCTGTTCTCAGATCCGGGGTCAGTCCGGAGACACCATTGTTTTTATTCTACTTTCATTATAATAAGGATTATGTGTCCTTTCCTTTATCATCTTATTTATATATTACAACTTATTGTGGTCTGTTCTGGCTGCCATGTGTCATGTTGGCCAAAGCACAAAAATATCATGAATGTAAAAAATAATAACGGCTGAGATCTGTGATGTTCATGTAAACAAACAAGATACAAAATGTGAGTTATTTAAGTGCAGTCGTACCTGCAGCCTCCGGTATTCAGGAAAAAGAAAATATTTTTTTTCAAAAAGTATGACCATGAATTATTGATATTCAGTGAAATGAATATAATTAAACGAAAAACAATTATCTTTTTAAAAGCGTAAATATTTCTAAATTCTTCTCAATTAAAAAGATATTCTCTCCCCATCACGTTTTAACAAAAAACAATTAATTTAAAATAATTTGATCTGATCAATAAACCATCAGGTAGCACCGGGAGGAGCTTGACAGACAGCGTCGTCATCCAATCACGACAGCGACTGTCATTCCATTTTTGATATTTTAAGTTGAATATTTAAAGTCATCATGTCACAAGTCGTTTATTTTCTTTCAAGTCATGTTTCAAGTCACAAAAACAGAGACATGAGTCGACTCGAGTCCACATCTCTGGGACGGAGCCGGGCTAGCTGTTTCCCTCCATTTCCAGTCTTTATGCTAAGCTACGCTAACCTGCTGCTGGCTTTAACTTTACGTTTTATTGGACAGACGTGAGAGTTATCAATCTGAACATCTAACTCTCAGCTAGAAAGCAAAGTGTATTTCCTAATAATGTCAAACTGTTGCTTTAACACAGAAACTAATGTAGTAAAACATGTTAAACATGCTAAACATGTTAAGCATATTAAACATGTTAAACACACAACAATTAGCCCATAAAACATCAACAGTCTGAAAAAGTTGACGAAAGATTAACATGGAAACATCACTTTGAACTCGTCTGTAAAAATAAAGTCAGTTGGTTTCTTGAGAAGTTTTGCTAAAAGAACTCATGTTCTCTCTGCAGAAAAGACAATCTTCAGTTTTTAACACCAGATTTGTGTATAAGAAATATTAATAACAAGTCTGTTGTTTGATTAAATCTATAACTCTTGTTTTAACACATTCTTAATTTGTTTGTTTATCATATTTGGTTGTAAGTTTTGATATTTTTTTATTCTTAAATGATTGCACTTGTATGTACAAACGTAGAATCAGAAGCTGAATAAAGTTTGTGTTGCTCAGCCGATGAACAGTTTAAACGTTTGATGTTCTGACCATGTCTCGGCTCTTCAGGGGGGTTCTGGGTCAGTCCGGCGGCCCTGTCAGGGTTCACAAGCTGCAGGGACGACACAACTACATGAGCTCCTACGCACACGGCATCCAATCACAGGCCCTGTCCCGCTGGACCGCCTCCTTCAGCCTCACCAGTAGGTCGGAGCCCGTTTTGTTCATCCAATCGATCGGATGGTTGATTGATTCGTTTATTGTCCTGTGAAGTTTAATCATTTTTGGGTTATTGGTCCGGAAAAAAAACAAGATATTTGAAGTCACATTGGACATTTTTTAGTGTCCTCAGCTGCTTTTATGTCTTTCACAAAACAATCTCAACTCAAGGTCCGAGCTTGTTCTGGAGCTTTCAACAGCACCTCACCGTCTTCATCAGCTGATGGAGTTTTCTTCGTTGTTCAAACTTGAGCACTCTGAGGACTTTTCGACCACGTTGGTTTAAAAGTTGAAATTGGATCTTCGTCCTTGACCTCATAATCAGCAGTTTGACCAACAACTCAAGGTCCACTTACTCACTTGTTTAGTAGCTTTCAACCAGTAGATGGAGTTTACACATGCTGTGTAAGTAGAGTAGGCCTAAAGGGTCAAGGTTTACAGCTTGTTGTGGCGTTCCACCGCCTCCTAAAACAAGCTGCTTAATGCAGCTTTAAATGTTTATTTCCTCTCAATACCGTGTACTATACAAATATATTAATATCAATAATACTGCATCATCATTAACATCTTTGTCCAAAGGTTAAACTGGGAAACTGCTTCACTGAAATTAAGGAAATCTACCAGATATGACTGATGTTTGTTCATTAAATATACTTTAATATACAAAACTAATTTGCTAAACCTGTTTGCGTGTGTGTGTGTGCGTGCATGTGTGTGTGTGTGTGTGTGTGCACGCGCATGTGTTGTGTGCGCGCGTGTGTGCGCGTGTGTGCGCGTGTGTGTGAACAGAGCCTATTAACGTCCCACTGGAGTTGACCAGTGAGACCAGTACCACATCTCTGCCTGCAGCAGCACTACCAGGTAATGATACATATTATTACATCATTAAAAAGTATGTTATTTAAAGAGCTGTGCAACAAATCAATTAATTTCCTGAATCATCTAACGTAAAAGCTGTTCCAGAACCAAGAAGAACCAACGTTACGTTACTGAGCGTCTACAAAATGGTGGACGCTCAAAAAAAAATATGCAGATAATTATCAGATTACAAAATAAATCTGTTCATGCTGGTGATTAGCTGAATTCCAGCTTTGTTTTGAAAATTTACAGAAATGATGCAGAAGTAAAGAAACACTTTTACTGTTATCAGGACTCTTCTTCTTCTTCTTCTTCTTCTTCTTCTTCTTCTTCTTCTTCTTCTTCTTTCCTGAAGTTTCCAGACACAACAGGAGTGTGATGTTTCCACCAGACATACTGTGTTACCCTAGATGACGTGTGTGTGTGTGTGTGTGTGTGTGTGTGTGTGTGTGTGTGTGTGTGTGTGTGTGTGTGTGTGTGTCTGTGTGTGTGTGTGTGTGTGTTGCAGCAAAGAAACCACTGAAGAAGCCGTCAGTGAAGAAAGCTCTGACAGGCGGAAATAAAGGTAAACTGTGTGCTCGGTGTATTTGATATTTTGGACTTAAAAGATTGAACATGAATTAAGATTGTTTTAATGTGTGTGTGTGTGTGTGTGTGTGTGTGTGTGTGTGTGTGTGTGTGTGCGCAGACTGTCAGATGGATATCGCCATAGTGATCGACAGCAGTAACAACATCGGGCAGCGGAGGTTCAACCTCCAGAAGAACTTTGTCACCAAATTGGCGGCCATGTTGAGAGTCGGATCAACAGGGCCGCATATAGGACTGATCCAGGCCAGGTGAGACATACTTAAACATAAATTGTGCTTTAGTGTGTTATGGATGAAGCATTAAGTTGTTAAATTTTACTCATTTAGGGGCTAGCTACTTAGCTAGCTAGCTTGCTAATTCCTTGCTGCTTTCATGCTATGGTTAAAGAACATCAAAAGCAATTCCTTCTACTTCTTCAGCTAAATAAACTCTTTCAAAAGCCTCTTGGATCAGCTGGAAAATGCATCGTCACAAAGCTGAAAATGGCTGTTTTTCTTTTGAGGGATTCGTGGTTCTCACGGGACTTTTACTTGAAGTACATGTTGCTCATAATACTTTTATACTTTTACTTGAGACAACATTTTCAACTGGCGTGTCTTTCACCTGGATTGCATTTGCAGTGATTCTCCCAGGACTGAGTTCTTACTGACCAACTACACTCAACCTAAAGAGCTGCTGTTTGCCATCAAGGAGCTGGCCTACCTGGGAGGAGACACCAACACAGGTAACACACACACACACACACACACACACAACATAAAGCATGAGTCACTAACCTTTGAAGATGATCCCTAAAGCAGCCCTTTGAAGAAGTAAAGACAAAATGTCCTTACTTTCCTGGTCTGAAGTTGTAGTCCTCACATAGGCATATAGGAGAACTCACATAGACACACACAGACATGTATGCATCCCTGTTGTGACCGTATTGACTTGATTTATAGTGTTTTCTCTTTTAAACTGATGGTTCTGCCCACTTCCTGCATAACTTTAAAAAAATATATTTCTTTTGTTTTTTAAACTTCAAACAAAAGAAGAACATTGTTGGGATCTGGAAGGAGCATGTTCGGTTATCAGCAAATATGAAAACTAAATTATTAACATCAATAGAATTATTAATGTCCATAAATGGTAAATGGACTGGACTTGTATAGCGTTTTTCTAGTCTTTCCGACTACTCAAAGCGCTTTCACACTACTTGTCATCATTCACCCATTCACACACTGATGGCAGACACCTGCCTATCAGACTAACTCATTCACACACCATAGGCACAGCTACGGGAGCAATTTTGGGGTTAAGTGTCTTGCTCAAGGACACATCAACATGCGACTATTGGAGGCACCACCCTGACATCAGAAACCAATAACCAAACTATAAATTAAATCTCATATTAGTATTCAATGTCAACAGTCAAAGTACTATTCCACATTCAGAGTGAACAGTGAAGGTTTGATATCAGCTATAATCCCAATACACATGCACAAAGTAATCACAGAAAGCTGCTCTTTAAATCAGTGATTCTCATGTATAAGTGTGTAAGAGTTAAAAACACACATAAGTATGATGCGTCATCGATTGAATTATAAGATATTGTAGAAATAAACAAGAAAAGAAGTTAAAATCCAACGTTTAGAAATAGATCTCAAGCATTTCAATGAGGTACAGTGAGATAAGGGTCCACATCCACTAGAAAACAAAACCTCATCATTTTAACCAAGATAAAACTACAAGGGTGAACTACAGCTCCCATGAGGCTTTGGCAGCCCCTTGGTGGCTGTAATGGCGTTAAACCTGCATTAAAGCGTCTCTTTAACTGGTTCCTCGTCTCGTTGCAGGTAAAGCCATCATGCACACGGTGGAGACCTTCTTCACCCAGGAGACCGGGGGTAGGCGGGGTCACCCTCGGGTCATGATGGTGCTAATCGACGGCTGGCCATCTGACGACCTGGAGCGGGCGGCCATGTTGGCCAGAGAGTCCGGCATTAACGTCTTCCTGGTGTCTGTGGCCAAACCGGCGCCCGAGGAGCTCGCCATGGTGCGAGACAAGGACTTCATGAAGAAGGTGACCGTTTTATTCACATCTTCTCTCATTTATTAAACATATGTATGTAATGTACACGACCGTTTTCTAAAAGTTATGAATCAGCTGTTATATTGATGAGCAATAACAACTATTCTAACAGAGTTTAATTCAGACACCAAATGCTTTATTTACATGTGAAATGATTCAGACTTCCTCACAGGGTCACATGACAGATTACTGTTGAATCAGTTTGATTATTGATCAGAAAATATTGATTGAAGAGGTTTAAACTGTGATTAGTTCAGATGGTATTATCGTGCTAAATAGACAAACCTGTTTCTATTGTGAAGTCTGAAGAAGTTAACTCCAGCTTGTTCTGGGCTGCTTTTATCGTGAAACTGATTTCTTCTCTTTTTCTTCTGTTGCTCAGAGGATCTTTGTCTCTTTTAGGTCATGTCCACACTACTCCGTCCACACAACGTTTTCAGCATCGTTTTCGAATTGATCTCCGTCCAGACAAAAACGACTGAAAACGAATATCACGTGCCTATTCACGTACACTGGGCATGCGCTGGGTGCCGGTGTAAACAGGAAGTAGATTGGTTGCTAAGTTAAAAAAATACGACAGAGTGATAAAGTATTCTTTAATAATGAAAGGTCGTGTTTGATACTTAAGATCTTCTCTAAAATCTTCCTCTATGAACTCAACCCAACTCGGAGTTTTCAAAGTTATCCGTCTTCGGGAGCGTTTTCATACTTATCCGTTTTCAGTGCTCGAAAACGCCGGCGTAGTGTGGGCGCACAGTGTAAACATAGCAAAACATATGCGTTTGAAATGGAAACGGAGTAGTGTGGATGTAGCATGAGTTGAACCATTGAACAGCAGTTAGTTCTCCGTCTACTAAACATCTGTTAGTAAAGAGACTTTTTACCAGATAAAAGACGTGTAGAGTCTGAAACGTTTTGGTGTTTCTCTTCTTCCTGCAGGCGGTGTGTAAAGATAACGGTTTCTTCAGTTATTCCATGCCCAGCTGGTTCAGCACCACCAAACACGTCAAACCTCTCGCTCAGAAGCTCTGTTCTCTGGACAGCCTGCTCTGCAGTGAGACACAACTACAACACAGCACTCAGCACCACGACACGGTTCAGTTCAGCCTCTCACTGTGTTAGGACTGTGTTAGAAATTCAACATTTGCTTCATGCAGAGTTAGATCTTAATACTGTTCTAAGACAGTTGTTGTTAGCTTAGCATTAAGACGGGGTAACAAAGCTCTGTCATTAACACGTTATATCTTGTTTTGTTTAATTTGGAAAATGTTTCTTACCATCAGCCCAACGTTTACTTCGTCCACCTTATTTCTGCGTAAAATGACGTCAACCCTTTATCCAAGTAATTCTGACTTGAGGGGGCTTTCACATGAATTTTCCCGGCCATTAAATACTTTTTCCGATTATTCCGACACCACATAAATGCAGCACAAGTGAAATGTGGTTGTAGTGGGCGAAGCTAGAGAAAAGGTCAGGAGGTCACAGAAATCCTGGTATTTCTGAGGAGGATTTAATTTCCACAGCAGATTTCCTGACAGACTGGACCTGCAACAAGTCCCACAAGTCATAGAACATGTTGTATTACCAGATGTTATGGTTCCTGCACAGTTCTTGGTGGTAAAATAAGTTGAGTGCCAAGCTGAGGAAATGTTGATGTGTGTTCTTAAGGTAAAACCTGCTACAACTCGGTAAACATCGGGTTCCTCATCGACGGTTCTTCCAGCGTCGGGGAGGGAAACTTTCAGCTGGTCCTGGACTTCCTGGCGGGAATCACCAGAAGCTTTGACGTCTCGGACGTGGGAGCTCGCGTCGGTCAGCTTCACAATATGAAAATTAACTGATTTATTGATTCATTGACGAGCCGATTAGCCGGCTGACTGTGTGTTGGATGTCCAGGTGCGGTGCAGTTCACCTACGATCAGAGGCTGGAGTTCGGCATGTTTGACCACTCCAACAAAGAGGACTCCATCAACGCCCTGAGGAGGATCCCCTACATGAGCGGAGGAACGGCCACTGGAGCCGCCATCAGCTACACCACCCAGAACCTGTTCAGGTAACAACACACCTGAGTACATTACAACACACCCAACAAGGTTTTAATCATTTAAATGGCCAGTGTGTCGCATTAAGAATATAATATTAGAAGTATTAAATATTAGAAAATTATTCTCCTACTCGCTTGGCACATGGGAGAAGTTTCAGTTGGTTGCAGTCTGCATCCTCACCACTAGAAACTGTCCCATTAAGTTGAAGGCTGGTGATAATTAGCATCTGTTTAAACACAAACTAAATATGAATTAATCCTACTAAATGTGGATTCACCCGCTGCTGAAAATAGTCCCCAACAAATCCACTAGTTCCTCCCGTTTGTTTGATAAAAACTACAGTGACCAGCTGTTTTAGGAAATAACTGAGCCTTTTTAATACAAAAGGAAACTATCTATTTGTGTTTTTAAAGATTTATATCTTCATTAGGAACCAGTGGGTTTGGAGCTGAGAGCCACAGGCAGGAAGACAGACAGTATTGAGAGACGGACTAACGAGTTGTTGGTTTGGATGTGCACATGGGTTTTTTGATGATGAGAAAATATAGAATGATAGGAGACGCATTGAGAAACATTAAATGCAGCAATGTAAAACATGTTGATGCATGTCACAGGTGACCAGTTACCCAAAGAGTAAGTGAGGCTTTAGGATCAGATTTTAAAACAGAAATATATTTGTTTGTTTTTCTACCATGTTAGTCACCTCAAAACCCCTGAAAGTTGCTGACTAAATGACAAAATGTTTGCCTGCGTAAAAACAACAACATTTGAATCAAACATTTTCACAGAGAAAAAGAGAAAATTGAGATTTAAAAATGAACTCTGAAGTGCTGGAAGCTACCTGCAGGGAAATGTGACCAAATCCTGAAGTGGTGTTCTGATTGTTGAAGGTTCTTTCAGCAGGGTTCATCGTGTCCGAAGGAGAAAAAAACACAAACACCTGAATTAGATTTGTTTGTTTTTCTTCACCAGGCGGACGGGACCAGGACGTAACTTCCTCATCGTGGTGACAGACGGCCAATCATACGACGATGTCAGACTTCCAGCGATGGCTGCACAGAGACAAGGTGCGTGTTGAAATAAAGGAAAAACAGCACCAGCTTGTGTTCACTTCTTACTCAAATGTCCTGTTTCCACCAATCACCAGGCATCACCATGTACTCGGTGGGCGTGGCCTGGGCACCCCTGGACGACATCAAAGCGATGTCATCAGAGCCGAAGGAAAGCCACACCTTCTTCACCAGAGAGTTCACCGGCCTCGCCGAGTTGGTCCCTCTGCTGGTCCGAGGCGTCTGCCGAGACTTCACAGAGAACAACTAAGAACACACACACACATGTTTGTACTTCTATACTAGTGATGACAAACGTAACTCAAACCTAAAAATCTGAACCCTCTAAACATCCTGGCAATGAAAGAGAAAATATCTTTGATTTACAAAATATCCTCACTTTGAGGGTAGAGAAATATGTCCTCACAAAGAATACAAGTACACATTTGTACTTCTATACTCGACAAAAGTTGCCAAGACACTAAAACCAAGTCTTAACCCCTAAAAAGCCATTTTAAGAAGAAAAAACAAAATAAAATGTTGTTTTCAAAATGTCCTTACTTTGCAGGCAGAAGATCAGGTCCCCACAAAGATAGAAATAAGTACACACACACACACACACACACACACACACACACACACACACACACACTGTATATATACTGTATACATATACCAACTAGTACTGATACATACACATGTATATAAAATACATAGAAAGACACGCATATATACCAAATATATATATTTAATAAAGGAGATCATCATCATCAACAACAGAAACCAAAATCATTCTCTTTTCACTGAACAGTCCAGTGTGTTTGATTCTGTAATCAGATGTAGTATAATAAATTGAAGTACAACAAAGAAACTAGTGAAAATATATTATAAATATATTATAATAAAATAATTTTAAAAATATTACTGAATTGATTTGATTAATTTGAACCCAGATAACTTTAAAAATAACCATAATCAGCACTAATTAATTTGAAACGGAAGAATCTAATTTACATAAAATAGATTCTAACTATAAAATAAAAACCTGCTGGATCCTCTAATGAACTGCAAATTAAAGAGAAAGAAATGTGGTACTGGATACTGTAATTATGACTTTTAAGAATCTCATAATCAATAATAAAATAAAGTTTTTTGAGAAACGTATCTAGTAATTACAAAATAAAGATGTGATTGTGAAATATATTTCTCTTGATGAGATTTGTTTTTATTATTAAATCTGTATCTTCTATTATTTTGGGATTATGAGATCTTTATCTTGTATTTACGATAAGGATCTCGTAAATACAAGATTGTATTTAGACTGTTATTTAACAAAAAGCTTAAATTAATCTGTTATAATCAATAATCAATCTATATTCGCATTTCATTTTTTGATCATTTTCAGATTTTTATCATGAAACACAAATCAAAAATCTTTCTTTCTTTGTTCTAATCTTTAATCTCCATCCTTGTTTACGTTGTAATCATCCCGATGTACATTTGCCAAACACGTTGATATCTTATGGTTTGTATGTTTCTGTGCTTTTGGGAAACAGGCATCATCCTTTCAAAAAAGACATAAAACATTTATAAATCTGATTTCCTGTCTGTGTAACTGAAATCTCTGTAATTTGGATGTTAAATGCTGATTCTGTCCTTTATCTGTATTTATTACCTTTTTTCTTTGAGTCTCTTAATAAAGAATAGTTATTTTTACAGCTTGTCCAGTGATGTTTGTTCAGGTAGCTGAAGCTCAAGCTCTTAGACGAGGACACTCCGCCCCCTGGTGTCCAAACGGCACATTACAAGACAACAAAGTGAGTCCTGAGAGAGAATCAGATGCAGTCAGAAGACAAAACTGTGTCCACATTTCACATCTGTTGATTCTCATCATGTTTGAATCTGTTTACATATAAATGCATCAAGTAGAGCATCTCAAAATCTTGATTTAAAAAGTTGAAATGTTAAAATATTATTTCTACATATTGATTCATATTGATATTGACATATTGGGTATTTTTGATCATTTCTAACTTTCCATCTGTTTTTTCTTTCTTTTCTTGTCAGAAATGATCTTCCATACCGGGTGAGTTTCATTCCAAACTGTTGCTCTCAATGAAACAGGAGAATATTTTAATATATCAAAACCTCAGGCTGCCTGTTTAAATGAATCTAGTATTATGGTATATTCAGCTGAAATAAAGTCAATATTACAATGGATGGTGGATCAGACACTATATAGTATGACGATTATTAAACATTGGACATTCGAGTCCTCCCCATGTGTTCTGTATGTTGATGTAAATTTTTATATATTGTTATATAGATACATTATACCTGGCCCTAACAAAAACAAACCTCATGTATAAAAGTAAACACGTCTGACCAACTGAAACTAAACTACTAAGCACACTACAATAAAAACAAAAACTAATTAAAGATTCAAAACTATTAAAACCTCGGTCTGGATACAAGCAGGTTTTGAGTTTATAGTAGCCTACTTGTGTATTTTTCTGGATATTATGTTTAGGCACCTTAACCTTTAATTTGAATTAAAACAAATGTTTTAATATCATTGATAGGCCTCCATTACATGAGTAATACTGTAATTGTGGAAATTGAAAATTGCAGTGTGAAAAAAAGACTCCAGTTTGTAGATGTTGTTTTCACAGTATATGTTTATTGCTTTTTTGACAACCATCATTTCATAATGCAGGTTTATTTCTTAAAACATCATAATAATGCACAAATGCACTCTATCTGTATGACATCACTGCTGAGCACCACTGAATACTACCTGGATCAAATAATAGCTTTCAAAAAAATCCCAAACAATTGCCAGGTAAGTTTGGTATTGCATTTTTATCACTTCATTGCTACAAATTGACACATTCACAGCAACATATTGTGTTGATGCAGTTAAACCTGAATGATTGTGGCTCACAGTTTGGATGTGATTTACATAAATCCGTATCAATAACTTTATTACGCAGCTGTGTTCAGAGAACCATCACACTTTACCCTCCAGCTGCTTGATGTCAAAGGTCAATAAAACATCCACGTGACTGGAGTCTCCCGAGGCGGCGGCGGCCAGTGTCAGAGGTTGGAGACCGTTTCCACTGAAGACCTCGCCCTCCCAGACTCTGCTCTTATTCAGTTTCAGATCAGTCCACGTCTCTCCTATCATGGTCACGACCCTCTGGGCCCCGGGGACCCTCACCCTGAAGCGGACCCACGCCAGGGGCTCCAGCAGCCCCACGAGAGGCTCAAAGAGCATGCAACCTTTCCTCCAGGCGGAGTCGAAGCCGGGGAACGGAGGCCCCGGCTGATCGCAGCTGTTTTTCAGAACAAAGTCACACATGGGGCTGAAAGTTCTACCAGGGGTGATTTTGGCGTACAGGCCCAGCCGATACACCCCGGCGTCGGGCAGGCTGACGCTCACCGTCACCTTGCTGTCCGTGTACGTGCAAAAGAGCCGCCGTGACAGCGGGATGGCTGCCGGTTTGTTCTCCTCTCTGCTGAGCACAGTGTGAATCTCGAGGTCCCGCTGGTTGTGGAAGGTGACGTTCCACTTGCCCTGCTGGGTGCTCACCAGCGCTGTCGTGTGGCTGAATTTGGACAGCCCCGCCTCTAACGTGCGGGTCCCTGGCCCGCACTCCGAGCTCAGGTTAGGAGGGTAGAGCTCATCCGGTCCGACCACCTTCCCTTTGCAGTGCAACAGGAAGTTTCCAGCGTTCTGGAGCTCGTCTTCTGTTTTCTCGTAGTCTCGCACAAACACCGACAGCCGGTAGAAGCCGCGCAGGGGGCACAGGACGTGGCAGGTCAGGACATCCGGTTGGATCTGTGTAGCCAGGCAGCGCTTGGCCACAGCAGCTTTCAGCCCTGGGTGGACCAGCTCACACACCACCATCAGAGGCCTGGACGTCTTCAACGCCAACTCGAAGACGCCTTCTACCGCCTCGGCGGCCTTGCTGCCCTGGCTGCTGCCCTGGCTGCTGCCCGCGATGCCCAGAGATTCGGCAACGGGCTGCAGGCCCCAACACATGGAAGGGTTCTCTGGGATCTCCTCCATGGCCCTGGGGATCGGACACTCCACCCTGAAGGAGCAGACCAAACTCAGAGACGTGGTGGCCAAAGGCCCGGCAAACACCTCGACGTCGTACACGCCGCTCGCGGGCGGCAGCAGCTGCAGATTCATGCTCCGATGGGAAACCGTCATGAGGCCGAAGGAGGAGTTGCTGTAGTCTTTCTGCTTTGGAGCTCCACGATGTAGAAGGTCCTGGTGCTGTGTGATCTTATAGGTAAAAGTCGCTGGCCTGGAGAAGCTCAGGGACACGTTTGCCTCGCCATCATCTGAGAAGGAAACCAGAAGTATGTGTTTTTAAGAGCTTTTCTCTTTAGCTGAAAATAGATATTGGTGGGGCATAATAGCTTGAATCCATTTTACAGAAGCAAATACTTAAATAATATGCATATCATTTGATTTTCAGTGCCTAAAATGACGTAAAAACGGGAGGATTGATACATTTGCACCCCGTGAGCTGAGGACGGACCTGTGACGATGTGGAAGTGGTGAGGCTGAATCAGCCGGAGCCCCATGGTGAAGAAGTCTGAGGTCTTGAGGACCCTCCTCTCGAACTCCTCCAGGGGGATGGGCGGGTCCAGGAGCTGCCACTTCTCCTCATCGGGGAAGTGTGATTCTATGAACTCCTCTGGGTCCGTCAGGAAATAGAAATCGTCTAACCTTGGAAGCAACAGATGGCGATGGCAGACTGGTTTGAGACTCAACTCGCTGCTGGTTTCGTGTGTGTGTGACGATAAGCGAAAGGGCAAACTCAATCTTAGCTTTTACGGAAACCTTCGCAAACCTTTTGATGAAGCTTTCGTGTTGCATATCTGTATGTCCGGCTCCCCAGCAGGCGTCCAATAGGAACCACTGTCCTCCCAGAAGCACAGAGTTCCACATGTGGTCGGATTTCACATTCTTGAGGCTCTGGCCCTGAAGGTACCCGACGCCCTTACTGTGGCCCGGCACTTCTTGGCACTCAATGCCCACCGCTCTGTAAACACAAACCAAACAGAGCGCTCACTGCTTCTTTTATTTATTGCTTCTTTTTTTTTTTTTTATCCGGTGTGCTTAAGCGCATGTTCAAGGTTATGTTTGTGCTGTAGGGCTTTAATAAAACCAGATTATTTATACTATATCTTCAACTCAGAAGGGAAGGACGCAGCACAATGCCGAGGTGGAAGAATCTGAAGAGAATGAGCGCTTAGCGGGTTTAAACTTTGTATTGAACTGTTGAACAGAAAAATGTGCTGCAATATGGAATCATATTTTGTGACATGTTTTTCACTTTACACAGGAAGCTCTTATTGCATTTTTATTCTTTCAACATCTCTTGAAAATCTCAATGAAGGCATAACGGTTTAGTCTGAGACATAAGATTTTAATTTAGTTGTGTTTACCTGCACATCTCTCTACAGAGGCTGGAGTAGCCACAGCACACGCCCCGACCTGCAGCTATCACCTCCTCCGGAGAGCACAGCATCTTTGAGCGGCCGAGGTACCCGCTCACATCGTACTCTATGAAGACAGCATTCCTTTTATCCCAAAACAATGAGTACAGTGCCTTATATTCCCCCTTCCTGGCGTTTTCCCTATTTTGTTGCATTACAAACTGGAATTAAAATGGACTTTTATTTGGATTTTATGTAATAGACCTACAGAAAATGGGGAAAATTGATGACGTAAAATAAAAACGTTCAAAAAAAATCACATAATTAGTAATATATAGTCCTTTCTTGGCAGGTTTGCTGTGGAGCCATATGCTTTAATGGTGCTCCATTGGGTCATGTGACACTTAGATTGCACACAGGTGAACTTTTTAAAACGAATTATGTGACTTGTGAAGGTAATTTATATCACTGGATCTTTATCAGAGGCTTTACAGCAAAGGGTTGTGAAAATGGACTGTACTTGTATAACTTGTATAGCTTCTAGTCTTTCCGACCACTCAAAGCGCTTGCGCACGACTTGTCATCATTCACGCTGATGGTTGGGGCTGCCCACCATCAGGACTAACTAACATTCACACACACACACACACACACACACACACCGTAGGCACAGCTACGGGAGCAATTTTGGGGTTAAGTTTCTTGCCCAAGGACACAACGACATGCGGAGCCGGGGACCGAACCGCCGATCCTTTGATTGAAGGCCAACCCTGCCGACCCTGGTCTCCACTAAGCCGCCGTCCCACGCACCGCTTTTCGGTTTTTTATTTTTTTGAATATTATTTCACTTCAACAACATGACTATTTTGTGCAGGTCCATTACATAAAAAAATCAATTTTAATACAAAAAAAAAGGAAAAACAGCAAACGCATGTGAAGTATCACAGAACTGTAGCAGCTATATGCAAGTAAGCGTAGTTCAGTAAAATACGCACCGATGTTGTCGCACAGCCAGACCCAGATGGCGCGAAGCCTCTCCAGCTCATTTCTGGCTCCTTGTGTGATGCTCTGCACTATCGTCTTCACATCATACACACACTTACCCTTCAGCTGCAACACACACACACACACACACACACACACACACACAGAGATATTCACTGTCTGATCAAATGTGGTTTTATAGGTTAATTAGTCCTATAAGTGTTAATCATATAGCTATTCAAAGATGGAGTCTTTATGTTTTCATGTAAACCACCGTCACAGTCTTGTCTTTGTTCATCGTCTTACAGCAACATCCTGTTTGCCATCTCTCAGTGTTTTGAACAACGGTCACTGTGGTCTGTGCTCAAGGATGTGAGTGCTGCCTGAGAGCTGACGTGTCTGTTATGGTTTTATTGCAGCAGATGAGTCGACGTCATCATTTCCTCAATGCTTCTCCTGTAGAGCTCAGGAGCACAAAGACCCAGATCTGTTCTGGCCTAAACTAGGGGAACTCGGCCAGATCTGCTGAGGGGGGGGGGGGGGGGGGGGGGGGGGGTGGCACAAACCGACAGTGTTGTTAAAAAGCCCGAGAATAGACACTCGGCTATCTGAACACGGTGTCATTTTATGAATGGATGAACAAAACAAAACGACTTCAAAGACTTCACATTTAACTTCCAATAAGCTCAGAAAATGTCATAAAAACATAAAAGTATCCTTGTTTTGCTCAGTGACATCATGGATATTTGATATTTTCTAAGGAGTTTTAAAGTGAGAAAGAGTCTAAAAGAACTTTCTCACGCTGCAAGAGAAACTAAATCCCAGAAAAATCCCCCAAACTAAAAGAAAGCATTAGTTCAAACTGCAACCAAAACAGTTAATATGTGTTTATCCTGAATGTAGGAGCTTTGTGTGTGTAATGAGTGTTTTTCTATCACGACTTTTTCTCACGTGAAAGATTTGAGTGCTTCTTGCACCGTGTACTCACCAGCTGCTCCTGGCTCTTTATCTGGTCCTCAGCTTGCCTGACCAACTCCTCCTTGGCTATTATGGCCTCCATCCTCTCAGCCTCCAGCCGGGCCGCCTCCTGCTCCACCCTCCTCCTCTCCTCCTCCAGCCTCATGGCCCTGTCCAGCTGCTCCTGAAGCTCTGCAGGACAAAGTCAGTGAAATTATTCTACAGGGTGAACTCTTTACCGCATTCTGCTGCAATTATAAATCATTTGTGTTACTTAAGGTGGTGGTTCCTGTTCTTTGTGGCTTATAAACCCTAAATATGCAGCATTTTGAATGTAGGTGATGTAGTTTCTGATGTATTTGATGATGAATATGACACAGCATCTATAAATACCATATAAGTTGATAATTAGAAGTATGGCTTTTGTATTATTGTTTTTATGTACTTTTTCTATGTATTTTATTGCATTGCTAATTGTTTGTGGATGTTTGATCACTCTGCTTTTTTTGGATGAACCACACCTGCCGGCACAGAGCTTGTTAGCTTATTGGTGTACATGATGTAGAGATATGAGTGTGTGAAAGGTGGGAACCACAAACTTTCTGACCTGACGAAGATCAAAGTAGAATTGAAACGTAGTCATTTATAAATCTTTGGTGCACGGAGTAGAGTGCAGACGTTGCCTTTTTTTCTGATTCTTGTTCTGACAGACTTTTATCTGCGTGATGTGCGTTTAATTCATCTTCAACACCCAGGTTGGGAACTTCTGATTTGAAGCATATGAGCAAAAGTGTTTCCCAAATCAGAGCATCCCGCAGCCTGGGACTTGTTTTTGTGCTTTGCATGTTGTCGCACCATTTTCTAGTGCAGGAAGCTGCATTGTTATTTGTTTTACGAAAATACTCGGTTATTTCTTGCTCAGAAATCAGCTGCAATCATTGTTTCAAAGCCATTCGATGCAAAGTTAGGGAACTTTCAAAGACAAGACGGCCTGTTAATCTCTGGCTCAAGTATTTGTAAGCAAATATAAACACATTCACTTCACTGTTAACATTTTTAATATAAAGATGTATTTCAGTAAACAGAAGAGGGCGGTAAAGCCTTGCTACTTATTTAAGTTTGAAACGTGTAAGACAACACAACATAACTTATACTGTTGATTTACTTCAGTAGCGTAATATGACCAGTATGGTCCATAAGGAGTCTGAGTTGAGCTTCTCCGTCTCACCTCTCTCTGCTCTCTTGGTTGTCTCTTCAAACTGGTAGAGCTTCATCATCAGCGCCTGCTTCTCTCTCTCCATCTCGTCCTTCTCTTTCTCCATGGCCGCCCTCTTCTTCTTCTCACTCTCCAGCTGATCCCTGCAGAAAACAAGAACAAAAGACTGATCATACATATTAATCACGGCCTGAAGATTCAAATCCTAATGCTGAGAGACCATGACAGTAACACGTGTGACTTTAAAACTTTTAAAACCCCTCCCCCTTACCTCTCCATCTTCTTGTGCAGCCTCTCCTCTTTGGCCTGAGCCTTCATCTGCTGAACCTCGATGGTGTCGGTCTTGCGGCGGCGCATGTACAGCTCATGGTTGCCCATGCACAGCTGCAGGATGCGCTTGTTGACTCGCAGTCGTGGAGCGTAGAACAGAAAATCCTTTAGAAATGAACAAAGTGTCAGGGTTCGTCTGTATAGTTGTGGTTCCATTTTCTTTACCTCTAACTAAAATGTAGTATATCCAACTTATTTGACAAATAAACGTCCTCAAGGTTTATGTTTGATTTCCTATATATCAAGGATGTAATTATGAAAGGAAACGGTAAAAAGCTTTTCTTTTGTAAGAATGTTTGAATTGAACTTTAAGTGTGTCAGAGTCTCTTTGCACAGATACCTAAAAAAATGTACATACAAATGTACCTAAAATTGTTGCATATGGGCTTTTTCAATACGATTTCTACAACTTTAATCCCGTTCTTTTTCTGTAAATGTGCACCACATTACTGCTGCTTCATGGTGCAAATCTGCAACATATCTTTACACATTTTTACATACACTTGATATGCTACGGAGGACTAAGACTCGTTACATACTTACAGGAGCTTTCTTATCTATGGGCTTGATGATGAATTTCTTCTCGTTGAAAGAAATTCTTCTTATTTCACTCCAGGGGAATCCAATCTTTGGAGAAAGTCTAGAGGATGAAGACAAATCAGACAAACTCAACAGGATGTTTAAAACGTTGGTTTGCGCTTACAGAATATTCACAGGCGGAAAACTCTTTGCACGTAACATACTGACAACAGTGTTCATGTTGTAGTGGAATCAAGAGAATTCGGTCAATGGCCATTCGGTCAAACGTGTTATTTAAAACTTGACCGACTGGAAAGGGAAGGTAGCAGAGGTCGATCAAGTCACTGATTTGTTGACTCACTTGTCGTCCTTCTCATAGATGTTCAGTCCCAGAGCGTCGACTCCCAGCCACAGGTCTGAGCCGTTCTTGTTCTTGATCTCAAAGTAGTTGACGCCGTACATTTCCAGGTCCTGAGCGATCTTCAGGTACTCAATCATGGACTCTTCCCTGTTCAGGGTAAACAGATGGATGAAAACATGGAACAACACACACTGATTTCATCAGTTCATGGTAGCATTTCCTTTTTAATTAAAGCATTTATCTTTTACTCAAACAGGTGAGATGAAAGAGTTGATTCTTTTGAATTTCACAGACTAACACAATAAGTAGGGTTGGCTTCCATTTGCAGCTCCATTTAGGTTCAAAGTTGGTAAAATACACAAACTTGTTTAAAAATGTATTATCGAATATTTTCAGTTTAACATCAGTGGATTTATCACTTACTTCAGCATCAATCTGTGCTCCTCGTGCCAAACCTGGATCCTCTCCTCCCACTGCTCCTTGGACAGCTTGTGTTGTTCCAGCACTCTGAGGGGAGAGACCGGTTATCAGCAACCCACTGGTGAACATGTAAACAGTCTGTGTATACCTACAGAGCTAAATCAAACACATGCTGCATTGTCTTGTCTTGTTATATCTATCGTTGGCGATTGCGAGTGTGTAATAGTACACAGGTTCATATTTGAGCCATTGAGGGAGCTATTCAGCTGGAGGATTTACATTATTTTCCAATTTATGGAAAGTAAATTCACAGTAAATGGTAAAGGTCTTTTTCTTTGTTGGTTAACCCTGTTTAAGTCAGTTAAACAATATATTTATCATTCTTTGCCCACAGAAATCAAAGCAAAACACATATTTAGATGCTTAAAACAAGTTGCTTCTCCGACAATAAAACAGTCCTTTCATACTTTGGTGCTTCATTAACTCATTTCACGTATAGTTACTGTCTGGAGAGCAGGGCTTCCACCAATATTAATTTATCAATACGTTTATTTTCAATTACACAGATAATTAACACTTTCAAGGATTGAAAAGTTGTACTTGACAGGTGATCTCAGGCAGTGAAGTAGACACCAGAGATCACACAGAGCTCGTACATTCTCACACTCACCTCTTGGGCAGCAGGCGCTCGGAGGACAGGTAGCCGGGCTTAAGCGCCGACTTGTCCTGCTCTCCGTACTTGGACTGGACGGCGTAAGAGGCCAGCAGCACAGCGGACTCTGGAGGGCAGTAGATCTCCTCCCCCAGAACGTCCTCCTTCACCTGCAAGAAGAAAAGCCTGCGGGTGACGTCCTGGATCAGCTCCTCGGTCACGTCCTCTGGGTAAAACTTGGCCCTCAGCTTGAACAGCAGGGGAGTCTCCTTCCTCACATCCTGGACCATCACCTGAGCAGAGCACATGTCATAAAAGAGTCAGGCAAGGTGTTGGAATAAAGTAAAGTAGAGAAGGAAAAGAGTGAAGCAGTGTTCCATTACAGTATGACGGAGTACAGTAGAAAAGACAATAGAGTGTGAACATATAGAGTAGAATACAGTACAATGGAGTGTAATAGGATACAGCAGAACAGAAGAAGGATAGAGTAGAATAAAGTTAAATATAGAAGTTTTGATCGAACAGAGTGAGAGAAAGTTTGTTAACTTATATTAATAATTAGTAAATTAAGATAGAAAGAATATCTTGGAGTAATATAAAGTAGTTTTCCCAATCATGGGTACTTGCAGGAGTAAGTAAATATGTAATCCCACATGTTTGTGTTTAGGTTGAAAAGAAGCACATAAAATAGGTTTATAACCAACACACTACCAGATTAAGGCAAAAAAAGACTGCGAACCAACACAGTCGAGTAGAACAGAGTGAAGTAGAGTAATTGTAAAATAGAGTTTAGTAAGATTTAGTTCATTCCTTTATAATATATCAGAATATTCCAGGATAGAATTAAGCACAGTGTAGCAGTCAATGAAATAAAGTTAAAGAATATATTAGAGTACAATAGAGTAAAGTAAAAATATGATACTGTCACTGCAAGAAGAGCAGCAGAGAAACAGCAGGTCAACAGAACAGGATGATGAACAAGAGCAACACAATGTGTCAGTTATCATCACTCTGCCTCAGTGAAATCACAGATTCACCTTCTTCTCAGAGTTCAGCCAGGTGATGAATCCTTTGGAGTCGACAAACTGAAGCCCAAAGTACCACATCTCACGCAGTCCGATGGTCCTGGCAACCTGAGAGAGAGAGAGAGAGAGAGAGAGAGAGAGAGAGAGAGAGAGAGAG